AAAATTAAGGTTGAGACTTGTGTGTCGTTGTGGGAGTTTGGAGAGTGGTCGAATGGACTGTTAACACGTATTGATAAGTCAATTGGGTCCACGGTTTGGTCCGGTAAACCGCGGTCTAGACCAAACCAGACCAAGAGATCAAATCATAAAATAATACAGACCATGGACCAGACCAGACCATACTTCACGATCTATGGTCCGGACCAAATTGTGCGGTACGGTTTGGACCACGGTTTTTCTAACGGTCTGGTCTATTTTTCCAGCCCTATAGATAACGTATGGAGCTGGGCCTTACTTTTGTTTCCTTCCTTTAAATTGATGATCCCTTTTTCTTTCATTTGATTTTGTTTTATGTAAATACTTTTACAAGTTTGAAATTTAGTTGGCCCACTCGAGCAAGTGGGTTGAGGGTTAATTATCCGCTCACTTTAGCTTGGTTTAACTCGGATTTATGAAAAAAAAGTTATTATAGTATTCATACACTTATATATTATGTGAATACATTTACAAGTTTGAAATTTGGGTAAATTGCAAATTTGACCACTCAGATTACTAAAAACATTCATGTTTGGTCACTAAAAATATTTAATTTTATTCGTGGTCACTAAGATTAGTTTAAGAGTCCAACTTTGGTCACTCTCCGTTAGTCTCCGTTAACTTGCGTTAACACCGTCAGTTTTTTGCTTATGTGGCTAACAAAATCACGTAGTCAGCATAATTTAACTCGAAAAAAATATAAATCCGACCCGCCACGTCAATTACAACCTGTCATGTCATTAAACACCAAACATACCCAACCCAACCACCTAACTCAACTTGTGGCCCGACCCAAGTCATTAAAATATGGACTCCCTGCAAATGCTCAACAATTCTTCTCCAAACCCTTCTCTGCAAAACCTAAACAATCCCATCCTCTCGCACCACGTTGTCTTCCTTTCTTTCTTCATCTCCCCACCTCCCACCTTGTGAAGCACCATCGCCACTTCCCCTTCCATCATTCTCCACTACCGCCAACCACCTCTATTCCAACTCCTTCTCCTCTTATCTATATTCAATTTCACAATCCAACCCCTCTCGCCCTTGATGCTGCTTCTCGTACGACAATTGATCAACGAAGATTCCTCTTCCAGTTGGACATGCAACAATTTAGAAGGACTACAATCGCCAGAATTATGAGCAATGGGTGGTTCCAGAAGGGATACCTGCAGATCGAAGCCACATCCCTCAGGGGAACCATCGAGCGCTCTGCTTCCCGACATCCCTCCACCGACAATGAATCTCGTCGCCGCCGAGGCTGGTGAACAATTAGACAAAGCTGCGACCGGGACAGAGGAAGTGGGAGAAGCAGGTGGTTGGGAGGGGGGACCAAGAAGGGGATTTTGTGGAACTGGGGTTTGAAAGAGGCAGAGGGAGATTGGGATGCGATGGAGATGGATTGGTGATGGCCGGTTTGGGTTTCGTGAAGGGAGAGCCAAGAACTTCAGTCTCGTCCTCTCCATCTGACTTCCCTTGAAACGAGGATGAAATCAGAGCAAGAAGCGCTCCTCCTTCCTGAGCTCGCCGACGCAAATATTCCAGATCTGTCGGGTCGATTTGTACCGATTCTTTTCTGGGTTTTGTGGCTATTGGTGGTGATTCTGTTTATCTTTTTGCTGGTTCAATTTTCTGGGTTCAAATAGAGAGCTTCTCGAATGACAGAAGAGAGAGTGGGTAGAAAGTGGGACTTGGGTGGTGATCTGCTTCTCATATGAAAGAGCAAAAAACAGAGCGAGTCAACCTTTTTTTGTGGTGATTCCTTTGTTTCTCTGATGAAGAACAGAGGAGAGAGTGGGTAGAAAGAGGGAATTGGGCGGAAGTGAAAGGTGGTGTTGATCTTTTGTGTTGGGGTCGGTTTGAAGGTCGAGTCGGTTTAAGGGTTGGGTTGGGAGAATGTGACATGGCAAGTTTTAATGACGTGGCAGGTGACATGCCATTTCTGTTAGATTGACAGAGCACTTCTGTTTGCCACATCAACACTTAACGGATTTCATTAACGGAGTTGGACGGAGACTAACGGAGAGTGATCAAACGTGAACTGTTAAACTAATCTTAGTGACCATGAATGGAATTAAATATTTTTAGTGACCAAACATGAACGTTTTTAGTAATCTCAGTGACCAATCTTGCAATTTACCCCTTTGAAATTTAGTTGGCCCGTTCGAGCAAGTGGGTTGAGGGTTAATTCCCACTCACTTTAGCTTGGTTTAACTCGGATTTATGAAAAAATTTATTATAGTATTCATACATTTATATATTGATATCAAATCTCTTCTGACATATATGTAATATAACATTACACGAAAATAACAATTCGTATTTGGATCCAACATATAGTGAAAATTCAAACACATTCATATAATATCAATATTCAAATATACAACTTAGAATTTCAAATATAGGGTTAGGCGAAGGGAAAAATAAAAAATGAGTCGTAATTCGCAAACCAAAGGGAAAAAACGACGCCATGTAATCTATTATTTGCCTAATGTCATCAATTTGCATTATACAAAGGTTCCACAATGTTAGTTAACTTTGACATAACATTTTAATCATATGTTACTTTTTAAAATTTTATTTTATTATTAGAGCATATAATTAAAAGCACAATAACTTTTTATTATTCATTAAGGAAAAAATAGACTATTTTCTCTTTTTTTGGTAATAACCAATTTTACGGTACGGTACAACCAGTTCTACGATAAGTCCTTTAATTTCTCCTAAATAATAGGAGCCATATTAAATTATTTCTTTAATATTAGCTAAAATTTTATAATTGTTAATTAAAATATTTAACATGTCATCAATTCACAATATGAAAAGGTTGTTGACTTTGGCATAATAGTTTAACCATATGTTATTTTCCAAATTTGATTTTATTATTAGACCACACATTATGAAAATTTTATGTAACAACATCTATAAAAATTGCATAAACAATGTTCTATAACGGTTACATAAATTATAAATTCATCCGTAAATATTATAGACATTACATAAACAAAAATTTATAGCCGGATAGTTGTTATTTAAACAAAATATTAATGAGCATTCCTTAATGATTAAAACACTACGTAAATATTATGAACATATAATCATTTGTATGTATCAATTAACCAAAAATATCATATAAATCTTCTATAATGATTATAAACTACATAAATCCTTATGTAGGGATAATTATTTTATTATGTATCACTTAAACAAACAGATGATGTATGTTATTCGTAATGTTTAATAAACTACGTGAAACTTATGTAGGTATCTAATCCGAATAATTTTGTAAATTATTCATTTCCAATTAAATTATTAGTTTCTTAACGCGACGGAACGCGAATCAGAAAACTAGTAATTAGTCCATAACAATGACTACATTGAATTTGAATAAGTTGAAATTCAACTCCGCTACACTTTCAGTGTCACTCATCTTTGATATCATTGACTTAATCAACGCAACACCCTCGTACTTTCTGGGAGCATAAGGACGGGACCAGATCAGGTCAGTAACTGATGGGTCAGTAACCCATCAGTAACCTCTTCTCTTGTCGCCACGTGTCAGTCCCTTTTTTTATTTAAATTAAACGCGAAAGGACAATAAGGTAAAATTGCTCCTACCTCTATTTATTGCTAACGCTGACTTTTGACCGGATCACAACAACACCTTCTCTTTCCTCGAAAAACCTTTAATTTTCTTTCTCTTAATCTTTAACGGACGATTTCTCACTCGTTTTAAGTCGGAATTTAATTTTTTTTGGACAGTTAGATCAGATTAATTGTGCTCTTCAAAATGATATCCAACTTGATATTTTTGGACATAAAAAATTTTGTCAGTTATTACCAGTCTATACCATATGGTATTGACTGGTATTGACCATACCATATGGTATGAAATTTTTTGCCATATCAATATATATTACGTTACCACCCAATACCATATGGTATAGTGTGGTAATAGCAATATATATTTCGTTACCACCCAATACCATATGGTATAGTGTGGTAATATCAATATATATTTCGTTACCACATAATACCATATGGTATGGTGTGGTAATATCACACAATACCATACAATACCATATGGTATAGTGTGGTAATATCAATATATAATTCGTTACCACACAATACCATACATTACCATATGGTATAGTATGGTAATATCAATATATATTTCGTTACCAGCGAATACCATATGGTATAGAGTTATAATATCAATATATATTATCTAAAAGGAAAAAACAGAAGGAGGTAGAGAAAAAAAATCGTCTTGTGTCGCCTCTCATTTCTTCTTCCGCAATCAAGAACACCAAAATGCCGAAAAAATGAGAAAGATCGAAATTGAGGCCAACGAGATGGTGAAAAGAAGAAATACAATGAAAAAGAGTGGCTCCAATTTTTATTCTTCATGGAAAAAAAAATAAAGAAGGGAGCAGATTTAGATCTAGAAATGAGATTGAGAGAGAAAAAAGAAAAGAGAAAGAAAGAGGATCTGGAAAAGAGATCGAGAGAGAAAAAAGAAGAGAGAAGAAAGATAGAAAGTTGTAGAGAATTGATTTCTCTTTCCTTCTTTGAAAGTGTAGCCATTAAATATGAAATAAAATAAAATAAAGAATTTAATGTATAAATGGACAAAAATACCCTTTCTCATTCAACGTTCGGCACAACCACACGATTGCGTGCCTCTTAGATCTATGATCCATATTGATTACTGACATATCTGCTGCCCATAAGGACACATCACCTCTGGGCCACCTTCCTCCCCTATTTCCTACTCTTTCACTTAGTTGCAAAACAAGATAGAAAAGTTTGCACAAATTTTCCACAGAATTGGTCTATAAAAAAAATCGAAAGTTGGACTCAAAACAGAGCTCTGCGCTCTGCCACTGAAACACAACAAAGCAACTGCCCACCTAACATATCTGCTCTGCTTCTACTCCCAATTTTGCAACCATATCCAATCAATCATGGACCCAACATCAAGAATCACCCTCCGCCCCTTCAAGCTCACCGACGTCGACGACTTCCTCAAATACGCCGGCGACAAAACAGCAACCCGATACATGAGATGGAACCCCATAACTTCCAGAGAAGAAGCGTTGACCCACCTGGAAACCGTCGCCATCCCCCACCCATGGCGCCGATCCATCGGCCTCCTCGACGACGACGAAGATCGGTCCATCGGCTACATCTCCATTTTCCCCGGCTCCGGCGACGACCGCAGCCGCGCAAACGTCGGGTACATCCTGGCGGCAGAGTACTGGGGGCAGGGGATCGTCACGGCGGCCCTCAGAATCGCCGTGTCCACCGTCTTCGCCGACCTCCCGGAAGTAGTGAGGCTGCAGGCGCTGGTGGAGGTCGAGCACAGGGCGTCTCAGAGGGTGCTGGAAAAAGCAGGGTTCTTGAGAGAAGGGCTGCTCAGGAAATATGGTTACTGTAAAGGTGAGATCAGGGATCTTTTCATCTACAGCTTACTGTCCACGGATCAGCTGCGGATCTAGCGGGCCACGGCCTAGCCCTCTCCGGATCCAAAGTTGGTATATCACTTGTACATTTTTTTTATTTTGGGTATATATTTCAATGATTATAGGGTTACGGTTCAACCCTCTCTACCGCTTTTAAAATGCGGCCCAGTGCTCTAATCTTTTCTAAATTCGCCGCTGGCACGAACAATCCCGATCTTCTCTCGAATGATTAGAAGGTTGGGAAGCGAAAGAGGTCGATGGTGGTTAAAATGGTTGTGCTGCTGGTTTTCAGTCCAAGATTTCAAGGTCGAATTCCAGGGAAGTTGACTAGTATATCTTGAAGAGGTGTATCAATAGAATTTCGATTCATCTATCATCCTCCACCTTGCTTGCTCTACATTGAATGTTGGCCGCTTTTATTTGTACCAATTCAGCTGTTGGGAATTGGGATGGACCTGAGAATAAGTTTCGACCCACCTGACAAACGTATGCTCTCAACGACCAACGCTGTGAATCCATCCACCTCGCCGGATCTCAAGTACCCTTCTGATCGTCGGCGATGGAAAGCTCCCCGACAATCGAATCTCCCAATTCGAATAACTTGAAATAGAAACTAACCAGTATAGTTAGGGCTGAAATTGGGCCATATGATCTGCATCTGATTTGTAAGAACTAAGAATCCTGTCTGACCCGTTTTTAGGGTCAATTAGAAAACTGAACCGTCCCGAATCTATTTTCCTTCTTGATTTTTTGGGACCCTTTATGGTTAGGCCAAGTCAGTGAATTGATTCAAATCAATCAACATACTAATTTTTGAAAATGACATTTTGGTACCCAAATTTTTTTTTATCAATTTAGTAACCAAACTTAATTTCTTTTACAAACAAGTCAGGAAATTTTTGTGGAAATTATGTTTTAGCACCTTTATATTTTTTATTTTGCATTATAGAACCAAAACTTTTAAAACTTTACAAATAGATCTAATGTGTTGGTATGAGTCATTTAATTTCATATAACTAGTCGTTGCTATAGGTTAAAGGGCCAAAAAGTGACACGACCCTAAGTTGACCCAACCCTACCCGACCCTTACAAGCTAAAAGATGACCTGACCCTAAACGGACCCTGTAGACAAACAGACCTAGCCCGACTGTTAGATTCCTAGGTATAGCTAAAAAGAGATGATGGACTAAAAAGTTTATAGAACTAGTCACTTATGGTTTGCAAAAAATATTTGTGTTTCATGGTAATTCTGAAAAATCAATATTAATTTAAGAATTATCATCTTTTTTACATATTCCATACTGCAATTCGATTTGCAAATCAAACGGGCTAAATTACACGTTTGATCACTCAAATTACACAAATCTTTCACGTTTGCCACCCAAATTAGTTTTCTTTCATATTGGCCACTAACTTTATGAATCATTTTACCATTAGTCACCGGCCGTTAGACTCCGTTAAATTTGTCCTATGTGGCAGTCAACTATAAAGTTTGACCGTTAACTAGATGACATGGAAATTCAAAAATTAAAAAATATATATTTTTCCAGCTCATGATTCCACTTACTTTGTTATAAAACTTATCATATTAATTATTTAATAAAAATTAATTTAATTACAAAAATTAATTTTCAGCAGCGGGAGGAAGAAATTATAGAGGCGGTTGATTTACCCTATTTCCAATTCCTCTTCTTCATCTCCGCTTCGTCAGAACTTGCGCAGCGGCGACAGCGCGAATTCATTCCCCGAGGGCGGACCAAGCTCGTGAGGGTGGCAAGCAGGAGGAATGTGGGTTGACGAAGGAGGCGAATCTCGAACCAACAGTGGGTTGGGCTTTGTGGATGGTCGGGAGGTGGAGGCGGAACCCGAGGCAGGCGGCGCTGGAAGGTGGAGAATCGTATCCGAAGATTTTGAGTTCGACGGCGAGGGGAGCGCCGCGGTGCTGACGAAGTCGAGAATTAGGACGTGGACGGCGACAGATTGGGAGATTACTTGTTCGAGGGCGCGGTGGAGGTGAGGAAGGCTGAGGCGGAGGGTCTCGAGCACGAGGATCTCGTGGTGCGGCGACTCGAGGAAGACCGCGGTGGCCGGAGGAGGTGGGAGGCGGTGGAAGGTGTTGGAGGGAGTGTAGGCGCGCGGAGATGGCGGCTATGTAAGGCACGGTGGGTCTGGCGCGTATGACTATTCCTATTCCTTCTTCTTCATCTTGTCCTCGTACGATTCCCAGGCCGCGAACTCGTACCGGTGGAACCCATTGTCGTCGTTGGTATAGACACAGGCGACGTAGTTGATCGAGTTGCTGTATGTTTTGTTGTAAAAAGTCCGCAGGTGGTGATGGGTCGGTGATAATTAATTTTTGTAAATTGTAATTTATTAATTTTTGTAAATTGTAAATTATTAATTTTATAAAATAATTAATATGATAAATCGTATAAACAAAGTAAGTGGAATGATGAGTTGGATAAAATAAAAGTTTTTTATTTTTTTTAATTCCCACATCATCTAGTCAACGGTCAAACTTTATAGTTGACTGCCACGTAGGACAAATTTAACGGAGTTTAACGACCGGTGACTAATGGTGAAACGATTCGTAAAGTTAGTGGTCAATATGAAAGAAAAGTAATTCGGGTGGCAAACGTGAAAAATTTATATAATTTGAGTGACCAAACGTGTAATTTAACCCAAATCAAACAATGATATATCAGTTGTCGTTAAAGTTTTCATGTATAAAGTTAGAAAAGATTCTGAATTGCTTATTAAGCCCCAATTAAAATAATCCAAATTTTTGAAAATAAAAAAAGATGACCAAGAAATCTCATTACCTTGTTATTGCAAGCAATTCTTGCCATGCGTACCTACTCGTCATGTTTTTGTTTTGACGAATGAATCGCAATTGGCCTCCAATTATTCCTGGTCTCGGCATATAATATAAGACTCATAGTTGAAAAACCCACGTAAATATTGTCTTCTCTCGATTATGCTTTCGTTGATTTGACATTATTGAAAGAGGCAAAATTGATATTTAGTAATGCAACCCAACTGAAATTACTCATAACCGGAGACTACGTACGTATCCAATTTTAAAGGGGCAAATATGAGCTTATCGAACCGGTCTAAACCATGGTCCTTGTTATTGGAAGCAATTCCTGCCAACTTAATACTTATGTTTTTGTTTTGACGATCAATCAATTGCGATTGGCCTCCACTTATTCCCGGTCGATACATAAGAAACACTTTTTTTTTGGTAGAAAGATGGGACGCTAAAGGGGCGCCCCTGCCTGAAACTCAAATTAAACGAGATTGGGCATTGCCCATAGAGTCATACAAAAGCCAAAAGTTGAGACCAGGGTCGCCTCTCTCAATAACATGATAACCCAAGCTAAGAGAATGCCCTTTATTCGCGAGGTAATCTGCTGACTTGTTACCTTCCCGGAAAGTATGAGAGATCTCAATCTCCCAATCTTGTTGGATGAGTTGCTGCAGTTGAGTCCAAAGACTATGGTAGCGTCCTTCATACGCTGTCTGCGCCGTCAAAATGGTGATAGCGGTCGTCGAGTCGGTTCGCAACTGAATTTTCCTGTAGCCCAGCTGCCATGCGAGCTTGAGCCCTTGTAACGCCCCCAGCAACTCAGCCCTAGTAATCGTGCATGCACCCAAGTTGGAGGCAAAAGCTCCCAGGCAACGTCCCGAGCTATCGCGCAGAAGCCCCCCTGCTGCTGCCAAGGAGTCAGGTTGCTTGACCGAGCCATCCGTGTTGAGCGCTATCCAGTCTCGGGGTGGAGGATTCCAGGCAATCTCCGTCGCCCTCTTCGATCGCTGAGCCGTATGGATTTTGTCATTATTTTCTTGAGCATTATGAATGGTGTTTGTCCAGCTTCTGATTCTCTGAGCTAAAGTAGAGGCGTCTTGCTGTTTGCGGTTGAAAACCCAGTCGTTTCTCCGTTTCCAGAGGTACCACGCGCCGACACCGAAGAGCAGCCCAGTTTGAGTGTTTTGGAGATGTTCCGCCAGCCAATCTGCAAGATTCAGACCTATAGTTAAGCTATTATCTGATATCCCGAGTTCATGCCATACCTGGGTACTATGGGCGCATTGCCGGAGGACGTGCTCTGCTGATTCTGGGGCTGCATTACACAGGTCACAGGTATCTTGCTGGCAAAATTTCCTTCTCTTCCTCTCGCAATTGGTCATCAACCGGTCATGGAAGGCAAGCCAAAGGAAGTGTCGTATGCGATGAGGGCCATTCCATTTCCAGATCTGTTTCCATTTGGGATTAGCTCTAGTCGGATCAGCCCCATTATCATCCTTTCGAAGCCATTCAGCAGCAATGGTATAAGCCGACTTGACCCGAAACTTCCCATCGGCATCCATTCCCCAAGTCGTCCGATCTTCCCCAGCGTCCGGTCTTGGCGGGTCAGTACCTGCAATGAGTAGAATGATGGAATTAGGGAGGAAATTCTTGAGTATTGGCCAATTCCACTCACCTGATGTTCCAATTGTGACAATTTAATCGTCTTGCTCCACTCCAAACATTATAATAAATTAATTATAATCTATGTCTGTTTGTATGCAGCAATTAATTATTTTCATATACTTGTTTATTATTGTGTTCAAGAGACATGCAGCTGAGACAGAGCCAGAGCCAGAGTTCCAAAATCCAAAGGACTCTTCTACTGAACATCCAGTGCCCCGCTTACTACAAATACAGCACAAATTTGAACAACATTGTTATCCTAACAAAAAGAGAAAGGGGGATCATCGAGATGTGGAAGTTCGTCAGAAATTTGCAAGCTGCGGTGGTTTTAGCAACCATAGCAATGGCTGTTATGGCACATCCCTCAACTCAGCAAGCCGTGACGAAGCTTCATGTGAAAAATGAGCTATGCGGTCTCAGACTGATAGTGCATTGTGCATCCAAAGACGACGATCTTCGTGCCCACGTGCTCGACACGGGCTCTGCTTTCAGTTGGGAGTTCGAATCGGTGAATTTCATTCGTACAACTGTTTTTTGGTGCAACCTCGCAGTCCGGAACAACCACCTTTCTTTCACCGCGTATAACGCGGCAATTTATAATAGACATAATCATTGGGTTGTCAACGAGAAGGGAGTTTTTACTGAAGGACACCGTCTGATTTCTGAATGGAGGTATGGAGTGTTGTCTGTCGATAAATCACATTGTAACGTTGGGCCTTGATTTTCATTTTGTTATATTTTCTTGCGTGCTAAGATGTACAACTTAATTGGCGATCAGGCCAGGGCAGTTATGTCGTGCCACTAGCCATGAGCCATCTTTTTTCAATCTTAAGAATGAAATACTACATTTGAATTAATTACCATTTATATATGCCACAAATAATAAGTATACTTCTAAATTATATATAAAAGATTTCAATCATTACAAAATATTATGAATTAAATAATTATTATAAACTGCAAAACAAAATTTATCCAACCATTCGAGTGAATATAAAGGTAGTTCAAGCCTTAAACAATGTTACTTAGATAAAGAATTAAAAATAAAAAAGCAGGTTCATCAACAATGATTTATATGTCATTGCCCTAAAAATTCATTATATAACACAACCAAAATGGTCAAACGAACAACACATCAAACCTTATTTCGTCTCATTATTTTTTGTCTAATCATGCCAGATTAGCAAGAGATTTAAGCCTTAGCGGTTAACTAGGATAAAAGGTTTAGAGACGAGTCATTTATAGAATTTTAGTTTGCACAAATATATTATTACTTCATGGTAGTTCCGAAAATTAATATTAATTTGAGAATTGTACATTTTTCTTGCATATTCAATACCGTAATTCGATTTGCAAAATTCAACCAATGATATTTGCATTGCAATTTTAAGATTATCCTTCATTTATAAGTTAGAGAAAATTTCTGAATTGCTAATTAAACTCAAATCGAAATTTGAAAAATCAAAATATCAAACACCATAGAAATACTTGAATGAGATTTAGTGAACTAGCTTAATTTGTTAAGATAATCCATTTCATGCCATGCCAACGAGCTTAATTATGTTTTTTTGTATTAACCAATCAATTATGATTGGCCTACACTTATTCCTGGTCAGCATAAGAAACACTTAATGCAAAGTTAAGGGGTCCAATTGTGCAATTCAATCGTCTTGCTCCACTCAAAAAATATAATTAACAATAATATATATGTTCGTATGAAGCGATTAATTAAGTTTGTATACTAGTTTATTATCGGGGTTCAGTTAACAGAGACATGAGTTACGGTAGAGGTCCAAAGACTCTTCTACTACTATAAATACTGCATGTACCACATCGCAACCAAATAAGAGGGAGCTTGTAAGTTTACAGGCCGCGGCGGTTTTGGCAAACATAATCTACACATAATATAACTAGCTTTTTACCCGGCCCGTTGGCCGGAGAGATTTATTATATAATTTATATGTTTAAATCATTTTGGATCTTCTAAATATTTTGTAACAAAGTTTGTAGTATGTCTATATTGAAATTTCCAATATTTAGCACACTCACTTGTGATGCTTCGGTTTTCTAATCATAAATTATGTCGCTGTCACGTCCCATTTAGAACTTATGTCAATATTTGTCAACCAAACACTAATATTTAGCGTACGCCAACCTGAACCACACACACACATATATATAGTTCAAGCTAGCGTGCGCCAGGAGTACGCTATACTCTTGCTTTCATACTACCATACGACCATTGAGTTTTACTATTTAGATCCGAATTAACCGGAGTTATTTGGGGCATGATACTATACCCTGACCTCTAATAGGTGAACTCCCGTCCCTAATTCTGTAACCTCTAATTTATGCACATACTTCATAATACCTATCTTCTATCGTATCTTGAGTAAAATAAAAAGTATAGTATACCTTGATACTACATATACATGTATATATATGTGTGTATATATTAGACTCAAAATTATCTAGAGATCTCGCTTTTACCACCATAACGCCAGACAACCATTGGGGTTGTCTATCGTTCGATATATAATATATACAGAGGCAAATACTAAGATCCTACTATTTTTTCTTATCCTCTCACGCCACCCCCGTTATGGAGAATAAAAGGTTAGGGATGATAGGATCATAGCTCGATATGGTTTTATTACGTTCATCGTATCGGAGGTTATGTTCTTTTTTGTTTTTTTTTTTTACTTCTTTTCATTCTACTTCATTATTGGATTTATTCATCCATATTGAAACTTGACACACCGTAGCCCTCATGATGACTACATTCTCTAATCTCGACTCATTTTCATTTTTTATGTTTGTTTTTTTATCCAGACACTTAAATTTAGTATATTATACAATATGTATCAATTGTTAATTCTTGAAGTTTATGCTAAACCTCAACCGGTGGTCATTGTTTATATGTTGGCTTAGAAATTCAATCTAAGGCACTCACACACTATCAATGATTTTGGTCTTAACATGGTCGTTGAATATGTAATTTTTAAAGATTTTATCACTTATATATTAATAATTGATAAAGAGTGTCTCCAATACACACATATTTCAAGTGCATTTAAAATATCTTATCATTTGAACAATATCAGTGGATTTCATTTGATTATTTGCATTAACTTATTATCTTATACAACATATATCAATTCATGTTTCTCGAGTTTGGACGAACTGGCAACCAATTTTGAGAGTTGAGATTATTGGATAAAGATACTTGATTGTTAGCTAAATATGTTTATACCAATTGCTATCTTACTAAAAATTGTCAATCTTTATTTGGTAAATGCCTATGTTAGTAGTTGATGAAATGTTATGTTTATCGTAAATTCTCAACAAAGATTTTTCTAACCTTCACATCTATTATTTTTCAAGGAATCTTGTGTCTCATCCTAGAGTATGAAGTCAAAGTTCGACAACAATCATACTTAAGTCATTTTGAAAATTTTGATTTATAATCGTCGACGATAACTCAAAGTCTGAAAGAAACTTTCTTAGCATACGACTTAAAACCTCAATAGAGCTTGCTCAATTAACATGATATAGAGCAAATATTATTAATGTGAACTTAGGACACATTATCAAATTATTGCACATGCGATTCCTCTTCATTTGAGGAATTTAATGTAGAACATGATCTAAATGAATAAGAAGTTTTTTTAAATAAATAACTGTAACTACTCGATCAAGATTATACTATGACATTTTGCTAAATAATACTTATTTTATTTTATAGATATATACTGTACTAATAAGAGAGTGTTTCATTGCAACAAAATATAAAGTAATATAATTTATTTTTCAAAGATAATTGAATGTCAAATGTTTATTTTCTCTCTTTTCATATATATTTTGGCTTAATCGATTAAAACATAATTGTTTATGTGTATGTTTGTTTAATTTTTCATCAAAATGTAACTTATCATTCAATTTTAGTAATGAGTTTTCTTTATAAGGTTTAATCAGATATTTTTTATTTAAACAAATGTGATATATGTCACTCTCTGTTTTCTTATTTATATTTTGTTTATTCAACAAAAAATTATTATTTATGTATGTTTGGTTAAGTTTATCAACATGTAACTTATTATTAAACAAAAAAGAATAATTGGATAAAAGAAATGGAAGTATTAAAGAAGAGAGAGGTAGCTCCATAATTATATTAATAACTATTTTTTTTTTAAGTTGTTCAACTTGGCAAATTGTGGATCCTCCAAGTGCTTATGTGGCAAGATTTTTTTTTTGAATTGCCATAATATATAGTATAGATAGATATAGATAGATAGATAGATAGATAGATACACCAAAGGGAAAAAGGGAGCCCCATTTCAAAATTCCTGCAACGAGAGTGAAAGTAGGAAGGACATTTTGGTCTTCACAATTACTTTTTTTTATTCATTAAAAAAATACATACTGGAATTCAAACCATGACCATTTTAAAGAAAGGTAAGAATCATAACCAATCACACTAAGTACATTTGTTGTATTCTTTTAAATTAAAAACATATAATAGCAGGGTGGAAAAAACTCTTCCCCCATTTCAAATTCTCTGCTCCATAAGCGTTTGTAAGAAGGGTAGAATAAGGAGTGTCAATTTTTTTCTGTTTCCTCTGTGGAACGGGCCAACTTACCGCACACATGCAGATTTAAACGGGTTCAGGAGTGTCAATTTTTTTCTTTATACCCTTTTATTTCTCCGTGGTGAAAAAATATATATGAAAATGCAAAAATAATACTCCTTTTTATTGCTAAAAATAAAATATTTAACAATAAACTAATGCATGGTATCTAATGGGCTAACCGCTAACCATAAAATAAAAGAGTTGAATGGGTCTGACCTACATGGGATTTGGCCATCAAGTAAAACAAATGAACATCATTGGTTTGTCATTCTAAAACAAGTTATTTTCTCTGGTATAATATATATTATGCTATTATTTTATATCTTAGTGGCTACAATATAATATATTTTAAAATTATTCAATGGTTCAACCTCGACCAACCCAATTAGTCCAATTTTTATCATTTCAAATATATATTTTATAATTATTTGACATCATAATGATCAGATTATAGTGTATTTTATAGGGAATCGTTTGGTATTTGTTAGTAAAAAACTAAACATAAAGATCTATTTGGTTATTTTAAACATTAAAACGATCCTAAACATTTTCAGTTCCTTTTGAATTTCTATGGTTTTATTCCCGAATAAGTGATGTGCAAATGGAGAATTGTAGTCGTCTCTTTTCTTTCACTATTTTTTATTTTCAAATAGAAAGTTTAAAAGTAAAGAATAATTAAAATTTGGCATGGGTCGGTCAAACAGGCTGAATTTCAAGTTTTGGCCCGTTTGTTTTATGCATTGCAAATTTATTAGCATGTTGATGGAAATGGCTTGGAAAAAAGACATATAAGTTGTACCTTTGCAGAAATGTCCTCAAATGTTTGAATGCTTTGTGAATAAGGTTCCGTGACTTTTGTGATGGTGTATGTGCTTGACGATTGCTCGATGTTGTAACTACTTAATTTGAGAGTAAATCTTTTGATTTTCCCTATGAGTTATGATACCAGTTCTGGTGGTTGCAGCATGTTGTCGTTGTTGGCCTGTAAAAGTTCTTCCGCCGTGATGCTAAATACTTTTCTTTCTTTTTTAACAAATTGTGTAGTAGTGCTATGAAACATACCACCCATGAACGCTACGCTTATTATGGT